CTTATTAAAGTTTTACATTTCTGAGACACCCTCTCTAATCTATGTTAATAGCAATCCAGAACAACTTAATGTGGGTGCATTATCCATGTAAAGTTACCTCATCTGACAAGTTACTGACTTCAAAAACTTACCTCTAAAGATGCGTTACATCTGTGTTGCCTTGGCCTCTTCCTTTTAAAGTAGAAAGTTTCTCAAATATTTGGTGATCCTTGGCTCATACTTATGAGTAGAGCATTTTGAAAACTAATTGTATGTTGTGAATTGGGCTGGGACTTGGGAGCTGTCAACTCTTTCTGGCTGTGTCATTTTATTGGGGAAAAAAAAAAAAAAAACCCTTGGTACATATTCCCTACCCCCATTCCACTCCAAGTTGGTCAGGTTCATACCCCAGTATTCTGGGGTTCTAGCAGGGAAAGAAAGCTGAGGGATCTGAGTAAGTTTTATTTTGACAATACACCTAGTGAGTCCAAAGATCACCCTCCCTTACCCTCTTGAGTGTTTTACCCTATGGGGGAAGTTCAGTAGTTTTAGCAGTATGGAGAGGATATGGAGCTTTGCTCATCTTTCAAACTTTTAGCCCCTTTCACATTTCTGGAGGTACTTGGGATGCCAATTGCTAAGCCTTTTGTGGGTGGTTCTGTGGTATACTCAGATGTCCTTACTACAGGCAGTAGTTTACATTTTGGTGTCCTAGTCATTTGTTCATAGCTGCAGCTTTTAAAATTTGTGGCTGTTGTCTTCCACATTTCTGGCCTTCGGGGGTTTTAATGTTGTGGTCCGTCTGCCAACACCCCTTTTTAAGTTTTGAGATTTAGTAGGATTTCATAAGAGACTAGAAGTGAGACAGTCTTTTTAGTAGCCTTTATTTGTGGTTGTGATGGAAGATTAGGGGAATGAAAAAGGGCAGCTAAATTACAGGTTGCTCAGTACTTGAGAATTTGGCAAAGTAAAGTTCATAGGTAACTTTCAATTCCTGTTTGTAAATGGACAGTGATAGGTAATTGATTTCAATTCTCCAGTTTTGTAGACTCTTAAAGCTACCAATCCTACTTTTCAAGTAATGTAGGAACTTTCAAGTCGCCTAATTCAAATTTTGATGTCTTCGTTTACTAGATGCCTGCTACCAGGTGAGTTAAATCTCTTTTCCTGGCGTTACTCCATTCCTAATATTAATGTTTATTATAAGACTGCAAATCTTAAAGTTACATTAGTCTTCCACACTGGGATGTCAGCTGCTTCATTGTTGGTCACTAATGTTGGAATACCCCTGTCCAGGTACCATTCATGCTGAGATAATTTTGAGGTGTTTTAACATTAGGGTCCAATTTTTAGGTGTAGGTGTTCTATATTTTATGTGCTTTTATTATTTTACTGTGTAGAAAAATTTTTTGAAGTTATCTTATACTTTAAAAGTACTTTATATTTAGAGCCCTGAGGTACTGGGAATTTTGAAAACCAGAACCAACTTAACTGTCTACCACGATATTTGTGTTGGTTCTGAAATGTATGCGTTTATTTGGTTTGGGGTCTACTAACCCTCAAATACTGAAATCTGGATGCTTTACATTGGCACAAAGTCATTAAGTTTTGGGGGAGCAATTAATCAGCTTATTAGTGTGCTAATATTTAATATTTAGATAGTCCCAAACCTTTCATAAAATGGATTTTACTATTTGATTTTGACAAGGTTGAGATGGATGCAGACTACCTTTTCTTCACTACTAGCCATATTTAGAAGTTGAGCTAGAAAGTTTCCATGGGCAAAAATGATTCTAGTAAGATGTGCAAATTGAGTGTGTTTGTCTTGTTAATTGTCAGATGCCTATAATCTGGAAAATTGGGTAAGGGTTGATTATAATCTCATTCACATTTCCTTAATCTTTTTTAGATTTATGGATTTGAGAGAGGCAGACACATTTTTTCTATTCATTTATACATTCATTGGTTGATAATGTGCTCTGACCAGGGATGGAACCCACAACCTTTGTGTATCTGGATGATGCTCTGACCAGGTGAGCTACCTGGCCTGAACAATCTGGTTCACATTTCAAAGAGGCCTGTAGGCCATCAGAATCAGTATTTTGGAGGTGTTTCCTAGACTTTTGTACTTCATACACCCCAAATGATGTTAGCTACACTAAAGTTCTAAGGAGTGTTTTAAGATGGTTAGAGTTAAACATGCTGTTTCATAAAGATTTTTTTTACTGTTTTTTGTAAAAAAAAGGTGCATGTTTCATAAAATTTAGCCCACTGATAACGTTTTAATCATGGATTAGGTTAGCTTTAAAGAAAATGAGAAAAGATTTTGCTTTCTTAATGGATGTACAAGATGGCAATGGGGAAAGGGAGGCAGTGGGAGTGGCTGTAGGCTGGAAAAATGGTGAGTTGTTTTTTTCCCCCACTATCAGCAATAAAGTTGTTGCCTGGTATTGTCCCCTTTGGGTTTGTCACTGATCTCACATCTATTCCATTATTAGAAATTATTCATCAGCAACTGATT